AGACATAACCACATTGAAGGGAAAAATAGAACTAATAGGAGTAACTTTTGTACGTAGTATTTTAACTGTATACTCTCAGTCTGGTTGGGAGATGGAAACTGTAGGCAAATCTTGAACCCTTCTTAGTAGACTTGTTTCATATTTGTATGGGTGTGACGGACCTGAAACTATATGTTAAAGGATTAAGTGGGAATTCCTTGGTGGTCCAGTGGTTAGGACTGGGCATTTTTCACTGCCGTGGCCGGGGCTCAATCCGTGGTCGGGGAACTAAGGTCCTGCAAGCCACATGGTGTGACCAAAACAAAGAAGGAGGATTGAGTAATGAATAATGTTGATGTTGTTTGGGGTCAGGATCCTAACTGTGAAAATATGGAAAGAAATGTGGAAGTGGGGAAGGTAAGGAAGAACCCTGTGGGTTTGATTGGTTAGGAATTAACAGTGTTAATATGAAATAATTATATCTCATACATGTGTGTGTGCATCTCCTAGCTCTGTCTGCTGCAAGATTCTATTTGCAATGACACCCAGTAGTAATGAGCACACTTAGCACTCAGATCTCGAATTTAATTCCTAACTAAAAGGAACAAGAACTTATTGGAGGAATGTCTCATTTTGTTGCAGGGGGCAGGGAACATAAATGATAAGCCTTAGCAGACCTTGTGCCAGGAAGTTAAAAAGTGCTTTAAAGAAAGGAAAAAAAAATGGGGCCTGTCAAAAAGACATTGGAGCCAGCTTAGAGGGGCTCCCACTGGCCAAATCTGGAACAATTTGAACATCAGTATAAAGATAGTAATGGATTACAACCCATTTAATAAAATAGGACTTCATAATTTCCATGATAGATGATGGATGGATGGATGAAAAGGGGGGTGTTTTCCTTATAATAGAATGACTGACTGATAAATGTGAAGGGAATGGTAGAGGTGGGGGGAGGAAATGAGCATTTTGTAATCGTCATAGTGAAGATTGTTTTGGGCTATTATCTTCAATGTTTGCTAAATCTAAGGGAAAATTTTGATGAGCAGGTTGTTTACGTGGTTTTAAAGTATCTCTCCACAGATTGTTAGATACAAGGTAGGAAATAGTAACTTTAACTATACACATTGGAAAAACACAGACAGCACCTTTAATGGGTGATGAAAATTGGTAACACCAATGAGGAGTGGACACATCGTATACCTCCAGATATGATACCCTGGGAAGGACACAATATCACACTTACAGTATTCTTGCCAGGGGTGTATAATCAGAATCTAATCTTGAAGAAATGTCAGACAAGTACAAATTTAGTTACATTCTCTGAAATACCACTGTGTATTCTTCAAAAATGTCAGTATCATGAAAGATAAAGAGGGGTTATGGAATTGTTCTAGATTAGAGGAGACTAAGTAAGCACAATATGTGATCCTGAAGGGAGGGAAAAACATGTTTGTGAACATTAAATATTTTTACTTTTTGCTTTTTAAAAACATGAATAAGCAAAAGTCGTATCTCCTTTTAACTTGCTCATTTAATTTTAATCATCACTACTAGTACATTTGGATTTTAATAGTCAAGTTTTAGTTTAATTTAGTGTTTTAAAATAATATTAGATTTGCAGATTTCACAGTTAGTACAGTGTTTTCCCCTATAATCTTCATCTAGTTCCCCTAATGTTAATATGTTACGTAATCATGGTACATTTATCAAAACTAAGAAATCAACATTGATAGGATACTAGTATCTAAACTATGTACTATATTCTGTGTACTAAATTTTGCCAGTTTTTCCACTGTCTCTTCTCTGTTCTAGAATCTAATCCAGTATACTTCATTGCATTTAGTATACCCACTTTTAAATTAAGCTTTGTCTTAGGCTAATTAAAAGTGTAGCTGTTTAATGCAAAACAGTGGAATTAGGTCCTTACCTCATACTATAGAAACTATAGAAAAATTAACTCAAAATGGATCAAAACCTCGATGTCACAGTTAAAACTATAAAACTCTTAGAAGAAAACATAGGGGTAAATCTGCATGTCTTTAGTTTTGGCAGAGCATTCTCAGATGTGACACCAAAAGCATGAGCAATAAAAGAAAAAAAATGATGGTTGCAATAAAAGAAAAAAATAAATTGACCTTAATCAAAAATAAAAATTTCTGTGCTTCAAAGTAGTGAAAAGACAACCTACAGAATAGGAGAAAAAATTTTGTAAATCATATATCTAATAAGGGACTTGTGCCTAGAATATGTAAAGAACTCTTATAACTCAATCAAAAGGCAACCCAATTTAAAAATGGGCAAAGCATCTGAATTGACATTTCTCAAAGAAAGATGTACAAATGGCTAAGGAGCACATGAAAAGATAATATCATTAGTCATGAATCTTGAAAAAAGCCAGTCGCAAAAGACCACATATTACATAGTTCCATTTATATGAAATGTCCAGAATGGCCAAATCTCTAGAGACACAGAAAAGTAGATTAGTTGTTGCTTAGGGCCGAATGGGTTTTTTTTTTTTAATGAAGAAAAGAATTTTATTGTAAAATACACATAAAATTTACCGTTTGACCATTTCTAAATGAACAATTTGGAGTTTCTTTTTGAGGTGATGAAAGTTCTAAAATTGTAATGATGGTTGCATATATCTATGAATGTTCTAAATGCCACTGAATTGTACACATTAAAATGGGTGAATTGTATGGCATGTAAATTATATCTCAGCTCTTATAAAAGAGCACAGTATAGCTGTTTAGACATGATTAAAATAAAGAGCTTCGTAGATAGATAAGCAGAGAACATTTTGGAAAAATAAATTTATATTCAAGCAGGATGTCTGTGGATAGATCCGCTTCACCCAGTGCAATAAGTGGTGCCAGTTTCCTAACCAGTACACCGGTAATTGAAATTGGAATGTGATTAAGTTTCCCAGGGCCCACTTAACTGAGTGTCTTTTTTTTCCCCCCCAAGCCACTCTATTGAGATAAAATTTACATATGTGCTGTTTTTTTTAAGAAGTTTTAAAGTATAAATTACATACCATAAGTTCACCAATTTAATGCCTACATTTCAGTGATTGTCAGTAAATATCAGTTTTGCAGCCATCACCATAATCTAATTTAGAACATTTTATCTTTGGGAACTCATTAAAAATCTGAATTGAAGATGAGTTCTTCCAACAGATGATTTGAGGTGGTTTTGATACTTTTAGTGAACCCTTTTAAAATATTTTGCAGCTAGTCTCATGTGCCTTCTTAATATTTAATATATAATCATTTTTTTAAACACATGGAAGTTTGGCTTTTCTAGGTAACTGTCGTGTTTCTGTTACATTTTTATTACCTTTTTTCAGAATTACCTCAACCATGTTAAGTAATAATTGTGATAGCATTTTAGCATTCTTAAGCCTGATTAGCAGTAGTTTACAATAGAGGTGATTTATCATGTTAAAGAATTACCTTTCTAATTTGTTTCCTAAGAGTTTGGCCTTCTTTGCAATTGAATACATTTAGAGTTGGGCAATTCTGCATTTTCAGGATTTATTGAGCATTTATAAATTAATGTGTGTGTGTGTGTGTATTTATTTATTTGTTTGTTTGTTCCCCCTTTAACTTTTACAAGTTGTGGTAAATTATGAAATGTTTTTTTCTAGTATTAGAATCTTTTGCATTTCTGTAAGTTTATCCAAATGAAAAACTGTATATATTAGTGTATTTTATCCAAATGAAAAATTACTTTAATGCTCTATAATATTTTAAAATTTTTATTTAGAGTTTTCTTGTCTATATTTACAAGTGAAATTGATACCTAACTTTCTATTTTGTGCTGTTTGTGAGGTTTTAGTTATTGGGTTATACTGCCTTCTTAAAATTAATGGGCTAGCTTTCCTTTTTTTCCCCCCCTTACATCTTGGAAAGTTCACCTGATAAAACTATTTTCCACTGAAGAGTAGTTTTGTTGTTGTTGTTGTTTTGTTTTGTTTTTTTGGTACGCGGGCCTCTCACTGTTGTGGCCTCTCCCGTTGCGGAGCACAGGCTCTGGACGCGCAGGCTCAGCGGCCATGGCTCACGGGCCTAGCCGCCTCGCGGCATGTGGGATCTTTCCGGACCAGGGCACGAACCTGTGTCCCCTGCATCGGCAGGCGGACTCTCAACCACTGCACCACCAGGGAAGCCCACCACTGAAGAGTATTTTATATTTGTTTGTTTGTTTAATATTTGTTTATTGGCCTGCGTTGGGTCTTCGTGTGGCAAGTGAGATCTTTGTTGCTGTGTGTGGGATCTTCGTTGCAGCATGTGGGATCTTTAGTTGTGGCATGCAAGATCTTTAGTTGCGGCATGCAAACTCTTAGTTGCAGCACTTGGGATCTAGTTCCCTGACCAAGGATCGAACCCAGGCCCCCTGCACTGGGAGCTCGGAGCCACTGGACCACTGGGGAAGTCCCTATATTTTGTTTTGGTTTTTTGCTGCTTGCAGAATCTTAGTTCCCTGACCAGGGATCGAACCTGTGCCCTCAGCAGTGAAAGCCGGGGTCCTGACCACTGGACTGCCAGGGAAATCCCCACTCAAGAGTATTTTAACGACAATTCATTGGTGTTCTTTTCAGTCTGCCACCATTGTTTGTTTTTCTTACATTTTCTTCTTTAGATCAGTTTTAGTAATTTATTCCTTCCAGAAAATTGTCCATTTCATTGAGATTTCAAAATTGATAAGCATAGGCTTGTATATATACTAGTCTTGTTTTGTCTCTCTGTTATAGTACTATTCAAATTTCTGTTTTTTCCTCTTAACTAGATCTCTCAAAGATAAACCCTGCTTTATATTTCTTTCCAAAGTACCAGTTCCTGGACGATTTGATAAGTTTCACTATATGGTTATTGGGTTTTTTTGTTTTTAATGTTCTTTAAAGGCAGTTTTGATATTCCTTTTGACATGGTAGCTCATAAATGCTTTTATTCTCAAAGAAATTATTGCCCAGATTTAATCTGTTAATTTTTACAGTAGTTCTTTCTTTGTCTTTTTAGGCACGAGATGTGCGCACCAATGAAGTGGTGGCTATCAAGAAAATGTCTTATAGTGGAAAGCAGTCCACTGAGGTAGGTGAAATATTTATATTCTTCTTGACATGTTAGAAAAAGACATACTGTTTTGTTTTGTTTTTGTTTTTTGTTTTGTTTTGTTTTGTTTTGCTTTGTTTTTTTGCGGTACGCGGGCCTCTCACTGCTGCGGCCTCTCCCGCTGCGGAGCACAGGCTCCGGACGCGCAGGCCCAGCAGCCATGACCCACGGGCCCAGCCTCTCCGCGGCATGTGGGATCCTCCCAGACTGGGGCACGAACCCGTGTCCCCTGCATCGGCAGGCAGACTCCCAACCACTGCGCCACCAGGGAAGCCCGACATACTGTTTTTAATTGAGGGTAGCTGGGAATTTTTTCAAAAAAGTGTAGTATACCTAAAAGTATACGAATATTAAGAATATATCTCAGTGTATTTTCTTTCACAAACTGAGTGTACCCATTTAACTTGTACCTAGAGCCATAAACAGCATATTACTGGCATTCCAAAAGCCTGCCTGTCCCCCTGCTTTTAATTTTTTAACTGTGGTATAATATATTACTTTATCTTTATCATAGAAGGCTTATCAGTTTCTAAAACAGTAAACTAGAATAAGATGCATTTAACAGTAAATTATATTGGATGTAATTTTTTTAATGATTCAGACATTAAGGGCTGATTTAAGCAAACTTTAATCAGCAGACAATATATATCTAGCCTGAAAAATAAAAAAAATACAATTATTGATACTACACTGAGTATACTTTAGTTCACTAATATTGTGAGTAGTGCTTTTTAGTATATTTATTTTAATTGCATAAATTTATTTTATGAAATATAGTCTACTTTTAAAAACTAGGATCTGTCAGTCTTTAATTTTTCAATGTAATTATTTTTAATTGTGGTAAAATACACATAACAAATTTACCATCATAACCATTTTCTGGTATGTACTTCAGTGGCTTTAAGGACATTCACATTGTTTTGCATCCATCACCACCATTCATCTCCAGAACTCTTTTCATCTTGAAACACTGCAGTTCTTTACCCATTAAACAATAACTCCCCACTCCCTCCTCCCCTCAGCCCCTTGATATCACTCTTCTATTTTCTGTCTCTATGAATTTGACTACTTTAAGTATCTCATGTAAGTGAAATCATGCAGTATTTGTCCTTTTGTGACTGGCTTATTTCATTTTACATAATGTCCTCAGAGTTCATCCGTGTTGTGGTATGTGTCAAAATTTCCATCCTTTTTAAGGCTAATATTTGTGTGTGTGTGTGTAAAACACTACATTTTATTTATCTATCCATTCATCTGTCAATGGATGCTTAGGTTCCTATTGCCTCTTGGTTATTGTGAATAATGCTGCTGTAAATATGGGTTACACAAATATTTTTTTGAGTCCTTAGTCTCAGTACTTTAGGTATATGCCCAGAGTTGGAATTGCTGGATCAATCTTTAGTTTTTAAAGATTTTGGTTTTCTACTTTTTTGGAATCTCTTTATTTTATGATAAATCTTGTTTTTTGTAATGATCATACTATGAATATGATAACACTATTATGATTGTATCACTGTTCCATCATTTTGATACCTAAAAAACTCAGTTTCTTACAGGATTACTCTCATTTATATTCTATTCTGTAGCCCAACTTCAGAACTAAGCTTTCATAGGCAAACTTGTACTGTGTTGGAGTCTGTTTGATTAGTCACACCTAGAACAAAAAGTTTCATTTAGGGCATCATCTTTTCACATCTGATATTAACGTCTTTCATGAAATTTTTTTCAATTGAAAATTGCAGGGTTTTGTTTTGTTTTGAAAGTTTCAAATATCATTCAAACTTGAAATTTAAAGGCCATGAAACATTTTCTCAGTTTAGCATCTTATATCTTACACATTTTATATAAAACACTGTGAACATATTTTGCTGTATTTTGTTGAGGGCTTGTGAAATAACATCAACGATATATGATCTTACATTCTAGTACAAAACGTTTTTTAAAGTTTCCTATTATGCCAGTTTCCCTGCTTTTAGAAATCTGGCCCAAGTCAGTGGTAAAGGTTGAAAAAACGAAAACAAGAACAAAAAATACATTCCTCATTCTCACCCCACAGCTGCTAAGCCTCTAGAGTCTTTGGGTGTAGACCCAGTAAACAGTATTTTTAGTTCTCTGGTTGCTTCTTAAGAGTAACTGTGTTTAGGACATGGCCTACGTGTCTAAGGTTTCATGGAGTAGCTTATGGCTGAAGGTTTATCTGTATTTCCTGGTAGGTGTCATTGAGGAATGCTCTTAGTAAAATATGTAGGG